TTTGCATTGCGTCAACTGAATCAGAGGAAATGAGGTTAGGAGTGCTTTGTTTTTTCTGTTGTTTTGTTCACTCTCACTCCTTTTTCTTCTCGTCTTTAATCCCCCCCCTTCCTCCCAGAGCCAGCTTTGTTGCTGGGTCCCTGCTCCCTAATGAAGTCAAAGGGATGTCAGTCGATGCCACCTACACAGAAAGGAATTTGAAACGGCGATGCTCTCACAGAGCACCGTGAACACAGAACACACACACAAGTGTAAAACTTCCACTGAAAGCAGGAAAACTGGGAAGCCAGAGGCTTGTTGTAGCGGAGGTATGAGCTGATAGTTTGGAACGCTTGTCTGCTCACGCTCAGGACTCGGGACGTGTTGGTAGCATAACAATGTGCTTTCCCTCCCAAATCTCATACATGTCTGGTAGAAGCAGTATGCGTGTTTTTCTGAGACAGTCTGGGATGATGCAGCCAAAAGGCCCGTGGATTAGCTGTCAGGCATTCCTGATTGGCATCTTGGTTTCCATGGAGATTTGACCCATGAAAACTGAATGAGTTCAACTGAAACATATAAGTCAGTAATTATAGGGTCGTGTTTTAGCAGTTTGACGTGTCACAAGTTTCATTCTTGCTGAAACAGAGACATTCTCTCTAAGTTAAAGCTGATCTGAGCTGAGTACACATTTAGTGCCTCTTTGTGCCTCATGGCCAAGCCCAACCGTCTCCTCCTGCTTGTTTCTGATGGACGCTGCTTTGGGACAACTTATTTAAAGCTAATGTCAGGTTGTTTACTAGGATCCACAAAGGCTTTAATTATAAACACATGACACCTAATGACTATGAAGGGAATGCACACAAGTGTTATCACACACTCTGATGGTGTGTTTGTTTAAAGTATCATTTGTGCATTTTATGAAACGATCAATTAGGTATTTTTAACTTTCGTGATGCAGACATGTTTCTGCTGCCATACCTATGGTTGTCTTGTGTTAGACTTTAGGACAGGGGGAGTAAAACAAGGATTTAACAGCAAAAGTTGCTCTTATCTCTTTGTTAAACCCACATCTCCTTCCTCTGCCTCCTCATCCCTGTTCACTCTCCTATCTCTTCCTCCTCTTGAGGAGGCCTGTGAGGAAGACGATCAGTCTGTTACTCACCCACACACATAAACACGCTATGTGACCACACAAAGCTGAACTTACACGAGCTGAACGACACCAATTTGAAGAAGAACTCAAAGGCTGTACATATATTGCAAAGAAAAGGGTATTTTGGCTGTAATGGTCATGTATACACACGAATAAAGACACAAAACAGAGAAGAATAAGAAGACACACCCCTCCAGGCACCCACATGCACAGAGTCCAGGGTGGAAATTCTCATGACAGCAGTTGTATATTTGGAGAAGACATATCATTAAGATAGGCTCGGGGAAGTTGGAAGGGAGGGAAGGATGCTCAGAAACTTTCCATCTGCTCTTTTAAAGAACATGTTATTGCTTTTCTGCCCCCCACCCCCCACCCGCTGAACACAGCCAAAGGCTGTTAAAACACCAGAGCCTCTTAAAGACAATATTAAAACTGGGTGACTTGTTGCAGCGAGAGAAACTAAATCAGATTGTTTTGACAGATAAGAGCTAATTTGGAGGTTTAGGAATAAGGAGGACAAAAACAGTTTGGTGAGCCGAATTCCTGGGCAAGATCGGCTCGCTGGAGGTTTTTTCCTTTTCTTTTTTTTTTTTTTTTTGTAAAAACTTTTTACAACGTTTATACTTAATTTGACTCTCTATTTGGTGAAGACCTGATTACTAATTTCCTTCTTTACTCTTGCTGTAAACTTCATAAATATTTGTTTTATTGATGTTTTGAAATTATCCAAGCAAATTCCCCTTGCCTGTCTGTGTGACTAGTTCTGTGTGTGTGTGTGTGTGTGTGTGTGTGTGTGTGTGTGTGTGTGTGTGTGTGTGTGTGTGTGTGTGTGTGTGTGTCTGGAGGCTAAGGGAGGGCACCACTGAAACAGGATGTGTTTGTGCCGTGTTGAGGCCCCTGGCATCACTGAACCCTTCTGATATCACGAGGCAGAAACTCCTGCCTTCACAGTTCCACGACACATAGAATGGACTCATTGATCATTATATATTGAATCAGATTTTGTGCGGAGGGCAGAGATTTTTCTTATGATTAGCTGACATTAATATGTCGACAGAGAATTAGTGATTTCTGAGTCTGCTTGAAGGGCAGTTGCGGACGGCGGTCCTCCACAAAGCTCAGTCTTGTGCTTTTAAATGCAGTGGCTCCTTTGTTATGGTCAATCTTCCATGATTTTAATAGCCTTATGAAATTATTCTTGGTAGTCATTTTATGTAATCCAGTTGACAGACTGCCTGCACTAAAAACACACCTCACCTCCAGTAGATTTTACTTAAAAATCCAACCTAGAGAGAATCGTTTACCAACCTCAATCACACTCGCTCTGACGAGCAGCGCTCCAGATTTTCAGCAATTTTTGCAGTTCTGTTATTATCTGATCAGTTCATACAATGGTGCACATACACATTCAGAGTTACACACACACACACACACACACACACACACACACACACACACACACACACACGCACACACACACGCACACACACACACACACACACACACACGCACGCACGCACGCACGCACGCACGCGCACGCACGCACGCACGCACGCACGCACACACACACACACACACACACACACACACACACACACACGTGCGCGCGCGCTGAGGAGCACAAAAGTGTCTGTTAAGAAGAAGTGGACACAAATTTGGCCAGAGGCGACAATGCAATTATAACTTAGTGCATGAAATTAGCCTCCTTGTGTTCCCATTCCCAGCAACCAATCACAAGGACAAGGGAACGCTGGGGGAAAAAAAAAAATCTGTCTCCTCTCACACTCTCTCTGCCGGGTCGTCAGAGCATTAAGCACAATCCTGTTCATTATGCACTGAAAAAACAGTGGTGAAAAAATGAAAACGCTGGCGCCATGCTGATTTTACTCGTCTGATTGACTATCAAGGGTGTGTCGTCTTGTTAGCGTAACAGCAAACATCATCTGTGTGTGGATCGGCTGCTGTTGGTCACTGCAATTTGGAATATAGCTTATAAAACTACCAGAAAATTAAATGGTTTGTTTGCAATTAAGTAAAAAGTAATATCTAATTTAATGTTTTCTTTGACATTTGTGGTTTTTTACAGCGAAAAAGAAGTATGAAGCATTTTATTTATTAGGTTTTACTATAAACATACAGTTTAATATGATTAATGAGCCTTTTTCTTGCATAAATGGTGTACAAGCTTGTGGATTGTGCACAAACTTCCAGCTTTTGAGGTGCAGCAGTCATGGGTTTATATGACTGACATAGAAAACTGTCATTTGGTTTTTATGAATCCTAAAACCATTAAAACTTGAAATGAAATGCCTGAAAAATTTGCAAGTTCAAATATAAACGTTTGGACTCTTTAATGGAAACACAGAGGACCAAATTAGGTTAGAGTGATTATGCGTATTTTCCCTGGGTTAGGGTTAGGGTTATTATTGTAAACACATAATATTTTTGTGTTTGAGTTAGACCTTACCAACGGATGGCCATTAGGGTCAAAAATCCCTGGGACTGCAACCTCCAGCAAAGTGATAAACAAAAGAGTCCCTCTCATCCTGGTAATGAGTGAAGATGTAAAGGTGTATAACAACACTGTTTATGAATGGTGAAAGTTTGTTACAGATCAGTAAATGCGTTTGGTCCTCACAGGCTCCCGTAGAAGGAAGCATGGCGTCTAATATGGCCCGCCTGCATGTATTTTAGACCTGATTTTTAAGGTTATATGTTACGAAGCCGCCAATATTTTTTCAACAACTTGGCATCTTTTCGTTCATTTTCAACAACATTTAGATGGATATTTCTAGAGATGAACAGTAAAACTACACATTGTCTCTTTAAGAAAACTTGAAAAGTTGAACAAATTCTAGAAGTTTCTGTGTGAAAACATGTGACTGCGTGAAAGAAATGTAACAGTGAGCCGTGGCGGACGGCCACTCACACTGAGCCAGGGTCTGTTGGAGGTTTCTTCCTGTTGAAGGGGAGTTTTCCTCTCCACTGTCGCTACATGTTTGCTTAGTATGAGGATTGCTGTAAAGTCTCTGACACTAGTCAGTGACTCGGTGCAATCTGAGGGTTTTCCTTACATAGGAAACTTTTAACTAATTGGCATAATAAACTGAACTCAGTGCACTGATTTGTCAGCTCAGTTGTAATATTTACTTTGTGAAGAGACGACTCTTGTGATTTGGTGCTACAAAAATGAACTAGATGGAACTGAACTGAACTGAAAATGTTGTTTAATCTTGAAGACTCACAAACTGGATTAAATGACTCACTGACATGGGATTGTGTGACATCTGTGGGTGTGGGGGTGGGAGGTGTCCCCTCTTAATTTGAACTGGTTAACAAATGAAAAGACAAATGTACCCAAAGTGAAACTAAAGACTAAGAATCAGCAGGAATAAAGATATTTTAGGAGTTGAAACCACCCTCCATTGCCTGCTTTCTTTGGGTTCATGCTACATATTCCCCTTTCTCCGATTATATATGCAGACGGGTGAGGGGGGTGCGTTATATTTGTGTTAGAAGCTGCCTAATTACCAGAGCTGGTTCTCCACCTCACTTAACTTTCTAATTGGCTTGCCTTTTTGGCTGCCATTAATTACAAGATTTCATATTCCATTAATGAATGGGGTGGGGAGGGCATGATGATGTGCACATACTCGCACATACTTACCGTACACATCTATGAACACGGGCGTACCGACACCTACGCGCAGATGAGCATCCTCACATGTCCCTCATTACTGACAGCTGTGTGGTGCGCGTGGCTGTTGCCCTCCAAGCTTTTCTGTTAAAAGGCCCACCAAACTCGTGCTCAATTTAAAAAACGGAGCTTCATTAAACAATTTACGTCTTTCTCTCTCTTCTGCAG